ATGTTAAAAACTATTAAAAAAATAGATTTGGGCAAATCCGATATTTTAAAAGATTAACAAGGATAAATACGATATTTAGAGTTTTGGTCGGACAAATACGATATTTAGATGTTTACTAAGGGCGTATATGAAATTCTCCCTAAATCTAATATAGTGGTTGCTTGTTTCGGTAATTAGCATATCATAGATTTTTCTCGGCGAGCCAAATTAATCTAGGTTAAAATAAACAATTTTCGATAATTAGCATATCATATATAGAATTTTCTGCCAGTCAACCAAATTAATATGGGTTAAAATAAATGATTTTCTTGTGCCATATAAATTTGAAAATCTATGACTCTTTAATTTTTAACTAAGACATGTTTGACATATTAGGGGCGTGTTCGACACGTAGCGTTTGGGAAATTCTGGTTTCTAGCTTCTAAGAAAACGCTCGTAAAAAAAAAAGTTTTGTTCGGCGACAGTAACGTTTAGCTTTTAGTCTAAACAAAACGTTTCAAAATCAAAAGCTACATTGAGAAGTTTTTAACAAAACGCTCCAAAATCAAACGATATCCGCTACCAGCTAACCGTTACTCGTTAAACCTTATCCGCTACCTACTACCAACTAATTTTGCCGAACACGCCCTAGGTGAAAAGCTAACTGCTAGTTAATAGGTAAAACTAGTTTTTAGTTGATAAACTAATTGATTAAAGAGTAAATTACACGAATGGTCCCTATGGTTTGGGGTAATTTGTACGTTTAGTTTCTAACTTATTTTTTTTAACTCGGAAGGTCCCTACTGTTTATTTTTATTGCACGTTTGGTCCCTGTCTTACCTAAAAATACTATTTTGCCCTTGATTTTTTAATTTATTTAAATAAACACACCTCAAAGTGGCTCCAACCCCACTTCCACCTCACCTTACCTTACCTTATATATCTCACCTTATTTAAATAAATTAAAAAATCAAGAGAAAAATAATCTTTTTAGGTAACACAGGGACCAAGTGCGCAACAAAAACAAACTGTAGGGACCTTTCGAGCTAAAAAAATAAATTAGGGACCAAACATGCAAATTACCCCAAACCATAGGGACCATTCGTATAATTTACTCTTGATTAAAAAACATTTGGTAAAAACTAATTGATAAACTAACTATATAAAATGTAAAATAACATAAAAGCAAATGTAAAAAAATTATTTAATATTAAAATTTAAAAAGACAAGTAGGTAGTGTAGTATATTTCATTAAATTAAAGTAAGTACCAAATAAAGGTTTTTTAATTATTTATGTTTAACTGAAATTTCTTGCATCCCATATCATATTATCACAAATTACATCCATCTCATGCGTGTCTCTTAGAATGTTATTTTGACTAAATTTGAACGATCGTCTAATTCTTATGTATGTATTTAATCATAATGTTGACATTCCTACGTATCTCACTAGTTTGTCATCCCTTTGAATATAATTATGAAAACAAGTTTCTCCTTTTTGAAACTTAGATTCAACATCATATTATAAAATAGAGTAAATTATAGAAATGGTCCCTATGGTTTAGTTAAATTCACAGTTTTAGTCCAAACTTCAAAAAGTTGATAGGTCAAGTCCCTATGGTTTCCAATTATTTCAATTTTGGTCTTTCCATATAACTCTGATAGTAAATTTCCGTTAAAAACATTTAAAATGACTAACATACCATAATTCTATTTTTTTTAATTTTTTATTTATTTGTTGATTATAATTTATTAAGTTAAATCGGTCCACCATGTCCCCACCCCTTCCCACCTACATGTTCATCGGCTCCAATAATGGTGTCTCCGAGGATGGTCATCTTCTCCAACAAGCCATAGCCGACTAGTGATTTTGTAATTTTACAACAACAACTAATAAGTAAAAAAGCATAAATTAGAAATCTAAAACCGAAATTGAATGATATCAGAACCTAAATCAATAGAAACCCAAACAAAATGAAACTAAAAACTGAAAACAAAATCTCAAGTACGAAAACCAATCACACTTAAATCTCCATGTCGAGATTCGGATACCAATCAAAGAACAATAGTGGCGATTTTTTAAAAGGATTAGATGCTTGGAGACGCATATCCACACCATACCCCTGTTTATGTGTTTCCACCACTGAATCCTTGCAAAAGACGATGATGAATTCAAAATCAGAGCACAAGGACTCAATTTTGTAATCAGAAGACCTAATTTTTTCACAAGAGATGAGTTGCAATTTCAAAATCAGGGCATTAAAGGACTCAAGTGTTGTTCCATCGCGCCATCATCCAACACCCATCGCCGCTGCCAACCCTTATGACGATCTCCGATCTTAATCAACCGTACCCATCAACCTTCGTCTCTTTACCCCTCCCCCCAAATCTCTAGAAGCCAAATGTTTGTGATGATCTCAGTGACAATATCAATGACGATCTTAGTTCACATAGCACATGTCGGCAAGAAAATTGTTCCCTCTACTGAAATCGGGTCCACACAACAAACCATCCAGGATGTACGAGCAGTGGTTTACCCGAGAATCCATTTTCCAGGTGAATAAAGACGGAGGAACATGGAGGCAATGTGAGAGATCTAAAGTCGCCATGTTCATATCTTCCATTTTCAACAACTTTGGTGCTTTCTACCCTCGGCAACCGCTTCTTTCAGCATATTCCTTAAGGTGCATCTGGTTTCAAGAAGAGGTTGTGGCAGTGGATATGGAGCCGACGGTGGTGGAGATGGCGACGATGATTGAGGCATAAGAAGTAGTCGTGATGGTGATGAAGGTGGTAGCAGTGGTGTGATGACAACAGATGATGATGGTGGCGTCGTGATGCATAGGAAGAGGAGAAAAGAGAGTTGAATGATAGCGAATGAGGTTCGTCGGACTTGAAGGTGGAGTGGGACGATGGGTTAACTTTTAGGGGTTTTATTCCTTTAAGTGTTTATTACATAATTAGTCCATGTAGTTTATAAAATAAAATGATAACATCAAATAAGTAAATAGGGGTATATTGGTCTTTTATTCAAACATAACGTCTGAGTTTAATGGTGTCAGTTAAAAGGGACCAATGGTGTAATTTATCCAAACCACAAGGACACAACCTATCAATTTTTTAAAAGTTGGACTAAACCTACGAATTCAACCAAACCACAGGCACCATTTATGTAATTTACTCTATAAAATACATATTTAGTTATAATAGCATCAAACAACTTCTAATAGTATATTCTAATATTATAATTGAATATGTTTATCAAATAAACTGTTCTAATAAATAAAACAAAAGCAAATTTATTTAGTTCTATAAATTCTTAATTTAGAATGTCCATAATAAAAAACTTAAAATAAAATATTAGAATAAAAATCAATGAAAAAAGAATTCATAAATTATTTTAAACGTTCACGGTAGGAACAAAAGAAAATAATTATTTATCAAAACGAAAAGATTTGAGAATTAATGTGGGAAATCTACGATATATTTTTGGAATGACATGATAATTAATTAAAATGATATTATTTGGAATTTAAAATAAAATAGTTTCATAGTTTTGTTGAAACTTAAAAAGCTAGTTTAAGGGCGTGTTTGACAAAACTAACTAATAGATAGTGGTTGGTGGCTGATAACTATAGCTCTAATTTGTTATATGAATCTTTGAAAAAAATAGCCGGAAGCTTTTGAAATGTATAAAATTACATAAAATGAAAATTATTTAAAAAAGATAGATACATAAGAGCAATTATAAAAATTGATTCTAAAAGCTCAACAATTTTTTTTCCTTAAACGCTAAATGAAATGTTTTTTTTTGTTTTTCTTATTTGGAGCGTTTCTTTAAACAAAAAGCTAAAAGCGTGTATTGTTAACCCTCTTCTCTGACGGGATCAAACGTCGGCAGGTTATATCTCTGGTGTTCTCCTGTTCAGACACGGTAAGTTTCGATCTTCATGGCTGCTCCTAAGAATAGGGTCGGCTCTTCTAATCGGTATTCGAATGAAACCCTAACAGAAAAATTGGACATAATGTTTATGTGACAAATCTTCCCGAACATTTTTCCCAACGAGAACTGTGGAATACCTGTGAAAAGTATGGGAAGGTGTTAGATGTTTTTATTGCTTTTTGATTGTCAAATATGGGTAAATCGTTTGCTTTTGACAGATTCTCGAAACGGTGAACATTGATACGTTATTGTCGAATCTTAGTACTATATGGTGTAACATCCGGATTTCCAGGGATAATATTTTGAGTATTCATTTCGATATATGAGGAGTGACTCGACGAGTTGACGCCTTAACTCGTCGAGTAGAGTCGCGTTTTGGTGACGTGTTTAATGAATGGACTCGACGAGTCGGGTATCT